GCCCATGGCGGCTGGGCCATCGGGGCTGAAGCTCATCTTCGTGCCTGAAGCCACCAGTCGAGCAATCGGCCGCAATTAAGGGCAGGCACCGCCTAAAGGCTTAAAGGCCTAATACGAACACAAGGCATGCATCGGTGGATGGAGGCCTGAAGTCGGGCCATCAGGGCTGAAGCTCATCTTCGCGCCTTCATGCAAGATGTGGTTGCTGTACCCTTTCTTGTGAGGCACCTATGTAGCTACCCTGGTGGCCGCACATGTTTAGCATTGCCGCCCCACCTGGGCCGCTTGAAGGAGCAGAAGCTGGCCCACCTTGCCATGTGAGGAGTGGATGAATTGCAGATACGTGTTTATCGATCTTAAATGTCGTGTAGGGGTGCTCAGCCAAGAGAGAACAAACGCCCACTGCCAGAACGCATGTGTGGTTGCAAGGAGCTCAGGGTTCAATAACAAAATCTACCAGTCACAAAGCCACAAGTGCCAGTTGGTAAGTCGTGGTTCGTCAACACTAAACGCTGAAACTTATTCCTAACCACGAGCATCTTAAACGCGTCATGCCAACCAGCTATTAGGTCCCTTCGATTAGCATCAAAAATTCGAAAGTAGGCTGGGTGCCCAGCTGGAAGGGCCCTCTGGGCTGAAGCTCATGCGAATACCTCGAGAAGTGAAGGCAGACGGCTGGTGCTGAGGAAGGATGCTTGAGTCCACGACCGCCAGAGCCTACGGAGGAGCCTCCGTTTGGAGCAAAGCTCATTTGAGCGCCTGAGAATACGCAAACCCCCCCCCCACCTTCTCACAGCAATGCGTAGTCTCAAAAGTCGTGACAACAGCTGCACTGAACTAGCTTAGGCTGTGTCCGCCAGCAGGGGAGAAACTCATCTGAGCACCTCGGCGCAAAGTACATGCACAAACGCACTTAACAAGGGTATATATTGGGGGTATATGGGGATAGTGAAAAAGCTAATGGAAACTACTATAGCGTATTAGCATCATATAGAGATAATGGAAAAGAAACTGGAAACTACGATCTCTGTTACCCCATAATATGTAAGGCTATATACATTGGGGTAAAGACCAGCGGTATGCGGCTGGTTGCAGAAACCGGGGATCCGACCCCCCGCACCTGCAGCAGATCCATTGTTGGGAGCGAAGCTCATCAGAGAGCCTTTCTCCAAATGAGCCATTGTCTAAACTCCTAGTATCCCCCCTTTGTAAGCCCTATAATGCTCCCCTATATGATCCCCTATATAAGCCCCTTTAAGGAGTTTAGACTATAGCTCAAATAGGGATTATAACCCCTGTATATAACCCCTGTAATTATAGTAGTTTCCGTGTTGTTTTCCATTCTTCCTATATAATCCCAATATACTGCATCGTAGTTTCAAGGTGATTTTGCATGATCCCAATGTAACCCCAATATTACCTATTGCGAAGTAGCCACAACTTCTTCAGCGGGGTGCACGACAAGATTAATAACACTCATCAAATAGTCGCGTAGAGCAGCCACGTACACCTTTCGCATGATCTCAGTGCCTCCCCCAGATGTTCCACCAGTTGGTGCAAAGCTCATCTGAACGCCTGCGACACACTGAATGTACTTAGAATCCAAAGCACGGCTCCTTCTCAAACGGCCTCCGCTGCTTGCTGAGGAGGTTCCAGTCGGAGCAAAGCTCATCTGCGCTCCTCGGCAGGTGCCCCTTTTTCTTGACAGTCGATTCTGAAGCTGCAGAATTCATCATGGGCGAGGACCAGCAGGTCCGCTGGGTGCAAAGCTCATCTGTGCACCTGAATTTTCGGTGTTGTCCAGCATTGGCATTGTGTCACAAAGCTCCCGGCCGGATGTGCCGTCTGGACTGAAGCTCAAGCCTCTAACAGCCCACTCTCAACAACAGCGCATGAGAGCGCAGCAGAATGCAGCAAATAAGCCAAGTCATAGTAGATATAGCAATTTTTTCAACTCCCACGCATCTAGCAGTCAGGCCTGCGGGCTTCGCGACACCATTTGTTGCAGAGCTTGCTGAGCCTTGCTGAAGGAGAAATTTGGCGCAAGGATGCGCAAGGGACTTGAAACAAGAGCATCTAGTTACTCTAGTTGTCGGATCCAACTGCAGGTGCAGCGTGGAACGCAGAAGCTTTCCCTCAGCACCTCACGCCGCACCGCCTGCTGAGGGCGACACTGCCATTAGACCCATTCGGACCTTCTTCGAGTGCATTGCTGGTGAGGTGCCACTACGCCATAAGGCCAAAGTGAGGTAGAATTAGCCTCCGCCTCCGCCGATAGGCAGCTGGACCAAAGAGACCAGAGTCTGGTCGTCTACCCCCAGACCTCAAAAAACTCCCCGCCTCCCGCTGCCAGGCACCTCGCAATTCTCTAAAACGAGCGTTGTCCTAGAACGCACCACAAAAATCGACAAAAAATCACCCTCCCCTTCGCGTCCAAACGTGGCAAGTCGCGTCCTGCGAGCTAGAAGCAGGCGGATGCGCTCTAGCGTTTGCAATTAGGATCTGATGAGGCGGTAGGCATTCTGCATCAGATGCAAGAATGCCTGCACTTCAGCAATTAGAAGACAGCTTGACTCAGTGCCGCAGCCGAAGCTCATGTCCACACCGTACTTCGGTGGCTCCTGACCTGGTACGTGTTGAGCAAAAATACTTTTTGCTCAACACGTGCAACAGCTTGCTCAGCTTTGGAACGTATCGGCGAAGAAGTCCGCAGAGCATTTTTTGACTTGTGTAATGAAACGACTTGCTCCAAGGTGCAGGTTGCACCGGTGCCTTGCAAGACAAGTATCGTGCTGCTTCGCAGGCCTTGTTCAGCTCCACAACTCATCCAACAAATGCATCTGGACTGTGAATTGCGAGTCGCGTAACGCTCTCTCTCGCCACACAGATGATAGCAAAGAGATGCAGGGGCCACGCGTCTACGCGATTACTGTCTGCACCTCCATGAAGCACATCTTGGGGCCTTGGGCATCCTGGACCGCAGCACGCAGCGGCCCAGCTTTGCTTCCGTGAAGGCTCTGTCATCCATCAGGGTGTCTTGGCCACGCGGACGGCAAAGACGCAGGATCCGATGAAGATTAGCACGAAGATGCCAATCAGCACTGTCAGCAAAATAGGCTCTCCAGCTTGTTGTTCGGCATGCCTGGGACAACAAGGCTAGCATTTAGGCTTTGTACGTCGAACTGGCCCCAAGTGACAGAATCTGCCGTCAGGCTGTCGGCCTTTGGCTAGCTAGGAATCAAGGAATGGATCCATATCGTAGTCCCTATGTAACCCAGTATGGTAGTTTCCATGTTCTTTT